GTCGGCTGATCTCGCAAATGGGCTTGACTTCTAGAGGGTAGTGCACATTCAAATGCTTCGACCACTATGGGTAGCAGTTAGATGTCTGATGTACCCTTATAAACCAAGTTCACGTTTCTTGGCCTATCTCATTGCGCCAGACCGCAGCGCGACTGCATACGCAGCCACGCCCTGCCTTGAACGAGAAATTCGCTCCATTCGGTGCTGTTCAATTGGTGCAAATCGTTGAAGCTCGTCAAAAGGCTGTTTTCCATTGCCGAGTTACGCATTGAGGGGCTGCCTGTGCCCGTCGCAAACCATCACGGTACCCGATCACGAGGCGTAGTCGCCGATTTCCAAGCGACCGTCTGTCAAGAGGCGTCGCGTAGAAAACAAAAACAATAATTGGCTGTACGACGACGATACACCGCTGTTGATCTGCTGGTCTTGAGTGCTTTGCTTTCCATGGAAGCTAAAAATTTCTCATAAATCAAGGCCAGGTTTCGTTGTTTTCCACTTGTTTCCCTATCACCCTTGTCACCCAGACAGCCATTTTTCACCCTCAGATTTTGATTTGCAGGGCTATTTGCACGTGTCGCAAGAGAGTCACGGTTCCTGATCACGAGCATTTGCCGTTGAGCAGCGTTTCGGCGTGGAATTGATTGCTATGCCCTTGTCACCTGATCGCGTCGAGTAGAGAGTTCTTGCAGCGCCAAGCTCAAGAGCTTGGAGATCAATTCTGACGCAAAGCCGGTTCGGCCATTTTTTTCAGAAACCCGTCGGTAGTACTTTTTTGTAAACCTCCGGGGGTTTTCTTTCTACCTCTATTTAGTTATACTTCAGGGTAGAGCGTTAGCTTCTAGCTTTTCCACCAGGAGCCTTGTCCGCTGGCTTTAAGGAGGGACGACGCACAAGCTACAGATAGTTAAGTCACGCCAAGGGAACGCTTCATACGATTTCCTGACTGTGAGTCACGACGCGGTGGCGCGGCGAGAGCAACGTGGCGCACCTCACACTGCTGAGGAGGCGCCATGTTCATCCAAACTCCGATCTCTCTGCTTGCTTACAAGGAAGGTCTTTCAGGGTGTGCCAAGCTTTTTGAAAACGGTCTTTTGCATGATATAGGGCACATGCGGGAACCACAGAACCATGGTTAATTTTTCCTGAACGGCCCTCTGAATACCAGAAAAGGGGGTCCCTAGTCACACCTTTTTCACCAGTTTTTCAATCAAAGTCTATTTGGGTTACTGACGGTCCTAATCATGAATATGGTACTAATTATTCATGCTAACTCCATTTTGCGCGAATTTGAAACGTCAACTCGAAATGCAAAAATTTGTCACCACGAGGAATCGAACTAGGGACCCCTTTTCTGGTATTCAGAGGGCCGTTCAGGAAAAATGAACCATGCTTCTGTGGTCCCCATATGTGCCCCAATGTCATGCAAGAAACCATTTTGAAAAAGCTTGGCACACCCTGAACGACCTCCCTTACGCCTGTAACGAAAGAACGCGGCTTTCACAAAGCCCTTTCTTCTTTCTTTGCTTTCGTTCATTTTTCCTCGAGTTTCTTCCCCTTTAAAAACCATAGATTTTCTCTGGTAGCTTCGAAATTGAAAGCTTTGCTCTTCAACTCCTTTGCATTTTGATGTCCTGCTTTGTTTATCCTTTTTAGTACTGGGTAATTTCAGTGACCTTTTTCTAAAGATGTGCTCGTATATGTTTGGTGCATTGAGGAGGAATAACCCTTCTATAGTCCATGGGCCAAACCTTGCTCAGGAAAACTTTGCCTCCTGCCATTGAATCAGCGTTATTGGAAAACTGAGGAATATGAGCCCCATTGACGCCTATCTCAGCCACTAATCAGTTCTACAGTTCTCTTCTCTCCACTCAAGGTGAATGCTAGACTTTGCAAATCCAGCGATTCGCTCAATGGGCTGGTACCGCAACGCGATCGCGGACGCTGGCGAATCGCTCTATTCGCAAAGTCTAACATCGGTTCAGAAAAGTCCAGAGGATAAGGGGTGGACCTTCGATTTGGCTGAATTTTTCAGTTCTAAAAATGCTAGCATACAACAGAAAAGGGGGTCTTTGATGTTGGATGTGGAAATGGAAGCTTGTCACCTTGGCGTTCAATCACATCCTGTTCAGAATGAGTTCTGGCCATACCTGCATGAAAGCAAATTTTTTGTTAGATTTTTGCCTCTAAAAAATGGAATAGATAAAGCCAGGCATCCTACATGATTTACGAAGGGAGGATGGATCCGAGTTGGATATGGTTCAGATTTTTCCATGGTTCTGAACCTTTCTAGGAGGTAGCTGCACTTTTCCAAATGGCAGTGAGACTGTGACATTACCCACTTATTTGTTCTTTCTTTTCCATTTTCATTCTTTTTTATTGTTCTCTATCGATTTTTCTTTTCATACCTTCCAATCTCAACGTTCCCTCATAAATCTTTCTACGCTTTGTTCGCTTTGTGCTCTTGTCGATGTGGTCATTTATTCAGGAAATCTGCAAACCGTACTACCCATTCTTCTAGCTTGGTACACACTCCGCCCTCCTTCATAGTAACAGATCCCACTTCCATCCAACCTGAGGTCCTACTATGATGATCCTTCGAAAAAGCTTTCATATCTTCTTTGATGATCCGTAAATACCAGCTCAATCGCTCTCCCACTTCTGCGAGGATCCAATGGCGGCTTTTCTAAACATGATCCTTTTCCCAAAACAAATCACGACCCTCCTCCTCCTCCCCCGTCGCGCTTCTCGAGAAATCCGCAACATTGGCTCGTCCTAGCTCTTATTTGCTATGGTGGTCTTCCTCAAGACATTAAGCTCCTGCTCAGTGGAGTAGGAGCGTGGGAAGAATTTTTGGCACCACAAACCCTTTGCAGTTTCGCCGACCTAACCATAAGCCTCCATCAGTGACAACGTGCAAAACTGAATACCCCGTTGCGTTGCCAAGAGTGCCATCGGCGTGCAGCCGTCAAGCTCAAGCAGATTTTTTCACTCATTTGCTTGTCTAGCTATCTGTACTCTGACCTCTGTTGTTCTGACGGTTAGACATTGCTGTTTCTCACGTGCTATCGGACATCGCCAAGACCTCAGCTCGGCTCACTCACGCTGTTGTCCTCGTTCACAGTCAGCTTCACCTATAGAGCTCATCCCAAAGCGTGCCTTTGAGAGATTTCCCTTCAAGAATTTCTTACTCTCAATACGAATTATTCGCACGGCGTATTCTGCTCGCATTGGCCAATGTGAACATCGTGCTGTTACTTGAGCGATGTTGAGGAAGTTGCTGCTTGATCTCTTCCTCGAGAGGATCAAAGCCTTCCCGAACTGTGGCCTATGGGCTCGTGCTTATCGCGTGCTTGTCCAAGACAAACACGGAGCAACGAATTACCCGGGGTTTTTCTGCTTATTAAGTGGTGATGTAATGCCGAGTGTTGTCGCTCACCATACGTATGGTCCGCAGACCAATCCTAGATCGGATCCGGTTCGAGCCAATTGAGGCTTTCATCCCTCTGGGCTTGCCGAATTAGTACCTAAGTTGTTAAAAACAGGCTAAAAATACTGACTCTTACATAGGAAATTCCTCGTCCGCTTGGAACACCGTTGGTGACAAGTCATTTTCCCTAATGCAATTTAACGATTTTGAAAGAAAAGTAGCAATGCTATGGCGTACCTTCGAACGGAAAGGCACGCCGATGCTTCCACCGTTGTATTTGTAATCTTTTTTCGCGTACAACCGTATACTTTTTATGTTAAACTATGTCGGCTACGATTTCTGGGCCCTATAGGGCTCTGGTGGATCAAAAGGCAATAGACTTCTAAGGCTGGATTTAGTCAATTTTCAGTCTTAGCTATTACCGTAACCCATGGTCAAAAGGTCTTCCTAGGTCCAGCTAGCGTTGAACCCTTGAACGACGCGTTAATTTGAATGGTCCTTCACTTGCTCTCTTAATTTTTTCATCAATAATTATTAACTCTCAAACAGTTTCACCCTTATTTAATTAGCACATAGTTCGATTTACGTGCAGAACGAGCGCGCGGTTGCGTTGCGGCCAGTTTTGAATCATAGACCGGAGCCTAAGAGCATGGCTCGCCACTTTGCGCCACGCTCTTCAAGTTTCAGTCTATTTTACGACCAAAGAAAACTCTTCATCTAAATCAGAAATCGAATCGAATCAGAAACGATTATTCCGCGAATTCGATAATGTATTTGTGTAGTTTTGAAACATAAAAAATGCCAAAATAAACCCCTAAAAACGTGTCGCCACCGAGCGAAAGTGTGGCCCACCGGCGGGCCACACGGTCGTCAAAGGGTTAATTTCCTTAGTTTTTCCTCCCACTTCTAATTTCCTTTTTTTTTTTCATCTCTTTGCTCGTTCTCTCCGAAAACGGTTGTGCAATATTTTTTTGAACGGTGGCATGAATTCGATGATTATTGATCGGTCTCTCTTGAGCAATCTCCAGATTGAACCAATCGTTCCTTTATTCTGCAATTTGGTGAAATTTCTTCAGAGAAGTGAACCCATGCCCATTCCTCAGGATTGAGGGCGACTCCACCCTCTAACTCCCTTTCGAATCAGTCGGCGACAAGACCTTGCCGCTGCTCACAGCTTGCGAATAGCCACATAAATTGGGAAGATTCTGGTCTAGATGAAGAGTTTTCTTTGGTCGTTAAAATAGACTGAAACTTGAAGAGCCTGGCGCAAAGTGCGAGCCATGCTCGTAGGCTCCGGTCTATGATTCGAAACTGGCTGCCACGCAACCGCGCGCTCATTCTGCACGTAAATCGAACATGTGCAATCTGCGAGTCTACTGCACGTTTCTTACGTCTTTTTACTTCGCTCTGCTATCCAACATAACACTACCAATTTGAAATTTTAATAAGCTCTTTCAGGGGTTTCTGCCTTTCGGATGATGCTCTGATGCGTCGGTTCAACTAGCTCGTGTACAGTGTATTTCTACTTTCACTCACTGCCTAATAGCAACGTATTCGTAAGTTATACAACACGATGGTGAAATCATTGTTCAACATCTGTTTGTCGGCTGTTTGTCAGCATCAACTCAACGATCATCTGGCTTTGATACCAATCGAATGTAAACAGAAACTTCTCGAATTCTTCACTAATCATGATCAGGTGAGTGGATTGGAGCACATTATTTTCTACAGAAGAGTATCCTTGGCCAAAGTTTTGCGCCCTGCTCTTATTTCGTTGAGGTGCGATGTGATTTGACATTAAGCTTTTCGTCACAACCAGTGCCCTTGCGTCGCAGATATGGTACCATTCGCTTTCTTTGCCGCCTGGCCACTGCTTGCAGTGGCACACATACTTTGGTGACATTCACTTTATCGTGCCCACTGCCTTTAAGTTTTGTTACAATCGCGCTCGTGGTATTGGTTTCCATTGAACATCCGCCACTCTATGTATTGGAAACAAATTGAAATAACAATTGAAATTCACTCGTGGAAGTTTTCTACCAATCCACTAACATGGCGGCTACATTGCAAGGATGGATCAAGAGATCCGGACTGCGGCTGCGCAAAGAAAACGGCGTCGCACGCGCACCAGCAGTGAGGCACCATTACACCGATCAGCAGGGCGAAAATCCGATGATGAAGGCTCCGACTTTCGCCGGGGAAGAGATTGTGACCACTCCTCATCCAGGATGAGCACTAGTTAGTCTGCACTCATTACGACGAATCGCATTATTCAGATATTTATGAAAATTTAATAGTTATCGCCTCTAACAATTTTGTCCTTCAGATAGCTTTCAATAACTTTTGGTGGTTCGCACCCATCAACGCACCTTTCAAACGCGTTCCAGAACCCAACCCTGACGGCCTCTCTATGGCTCCTCAAATCTGCTCAGCCTTCTGCCTCCCCCTCTCGAAACTTTCTTTTTGAATATAATTTTTGGCAGCTTGTGATTTTTATTTCGCGCAACATTCTGGATCTGAAAGTATAAACCCTTTCAGCTGGCCGCGTTGGACTGTGATCGTCTGGTGTCGTCACCGACGTTCGCCGACAATCTCACTGAGCTCAAATTCTATCTGAGCGAAGATCTGTCCGATTCGATGTTAGCCGCCCTGACCGCCAACAATAAACGCCTCGAACGAATCACATGGTCGAATGTCCACGAGTTACTGATAAGGTGAGTTTTTCAGGTCAATCCCAAACAATAAAGCAATCCCAAACGCGTAAAATCGATACTGTAGTGAGAACAAAGACGCACCCGATTAGCAAGGAACGCTCAAAAGGATTTTAGGGAGTGCGAACGGTGACTTCTGGTCAAAAGAATCTGCTACAGCTCGAACTTCGTGCTATGTATCAGCTGACTGATGCTGGTCTCACAGATGTCAAATGTCCTTTCCTGCATACGGTAGACATCAGTGATTGTGCAGGCAAGTTTACCTACCGTACGCTCCAAGCAAAAGGGCAGTCAACTAGAAACTACTGGTGCTTTTTCAGGTTACTAGTCTTGGAATTCGTTTTCTTGTACAAAGAAATCCAAATATTCATTGTCTCTATCTCAATCATTGTCGTTCACATTCGCCACGATCAAAAAAAGCTTCTGTACCGATATCGCCTATTATGTCGGAGAACGATTACGGGTGAGTATGCGCCGTGTTTATTGGTGCTCTCTGGATCGTGGAAGTAATTGTAAAGGTTGTACAGGCTTGCACATTGTTTTAAATGCTTACACAGCTCCATTTTCATGAACTGAGGGAAATATCAACGTAGCGCAATAATGACCACAGTACTGCTTGTACTAAATTACCGGGCCGCTGTGACATTTCAGCAATAATGCGAATATTTTATCAATAGAGTCTTAGCCAGTTCTCAAACATTTGTATGATTTCCAGAAGTGCCTGCTTCTCAACTAGGACATGGAAAAAATTGCAAAATAACAGAAAATAGCGCAAATTAAAACAGACAGAGGGTACGATAAAGTGGGTGAGAACGAAGTGTTTGACGTCATGCTGAGTGGTGGCTAGCTGCATACAACTTCCGATGGGGGGGGGCAGGTTCGCGGAGCAGTTTGCGTCTGCTTATTGCATTGAAAACTATAACGTCCGCTTACTCTTCAATATACCGGTTTGATAGACCGCTAGCATTTATTGAAATCAACCAATGGTGAATTTACCATCATCAGCGGCGCGCGGTCGCGTAGCAGCTGCGTTATAGCTTCTTAATGAAGGCACATAAAACACCCGGTCCTATAATCGATTTGCCTAATTTTGTGAATGGATGCATTCTTCCTAGATCTTGTTCGTCCTGTGCCCAGCAAGTTATCCATTCTCAGGCAACTACTGCGGACCCAATTCCCGTTCAAGAAACCGGCGAACGCAAAACCCGCCGGCGTCACAATTTTGAAGCTCACAAAAGCTCCGCAAAAAATTCCATATCTGCTATATCATTAAATGAATGTGATGTTCCAGGGTAATGCCCACGCATAACGAAGAATACGGTTATTTTTAGGTACTCGAGTTGGACTTTTTGCCATCTTTGATCGATCCAGCGGCCGCCCTTCAACATCTTTCTACTCAATGTCCAAATGTCTGCCAACTTTCATTGGCAAGATTCTTCAATGAGGTATACTGTTTTTTTTGTGAGGTTGAGCTTTCATCGCGCCAAGTCACAAGACCTCCATATTCCAGCCTTCACGCTCAAAACACGGAGTGAGCTGCCACAGCCCACATGCTGTTAAAAAGTGCACAGCTTAGCAATTGCTTCTTTGCTTTGCCCTCTACAGGACCCGCGGAACTTCGACTGATCCTATGTGATTGAGATCTAAAACACTTTTTCGAAACCTGAAACCCTTCTGCAAGATGCGGCTTGTTTCAAGTGAACTTCCTGCATGATGGATCTACAACGGAGGAGTGCAGATGCGCCACGCGACTACAACGCAATCTTTGGACCACGACCAGTAATACTCAGTGGCCGATGTCACACCTAAGCGATTGGAAGCGATTTGCACGCAACTGCGGAGCGACGGAGATTTACGAACTGATGGACGCCGATATTGACGTGCGTCGGTTGAGTGATAAATCTCCGTCGCTCGCATCGCTTGAGGCGATCCGTCGCTCCTGCAATTGGTGCAAAATCGCTACAATCGCAAAGTCTGACATCGGCCAGTAATGACGTCGCTACAATCAAAGCAACCCCTCTTGGGATGGCTTTCTTATTGCAAGTTGTTCCAGAAAGAATCTAATTACGACAGGATGTTAGCTGCAAACTAAGTAAGCACTGCGACGTTAGGACGCATTCATAGTTGGCGGTCGTCCGATCGCAACGATCGTACGGTCGCACAGTTCGGATGCGTATCGATCGTCCAATCCTAAGCCACGTTCTCAGGACCGATAGCCGATCGTTCCGATCGTTACGATCGAACGACCGACAATGAATACCCTCTGATGCAAAGCGGCGCCTGCAAGTGATGCGAGCGCGGTACCTGGTGACAATGGTGTAGTCGCCGGCAAACTCGCCCTTCGGCAATTGCGCGCTTCGGAATAGACACCGCACTATTGTTATGCGTCTCTCGCACTCCCCTATCTCGCCCAATCTTGTTCCTCGGACTCCATGGACAAACACTCATCCTTCTCAGTGTAGTGTGCAGTGCTATAGGCAATGAACTGGAATCACTACTTGTGAGCCTTGAAGACAAAAATGGACGGAAATTTATCACAAACATTCATCGTAAACAAATTAGAAATTACAGAGCTACGACGATTTCCCACCAGCTGTTCAGTTCAAAATCTATGGTTTTAATCTACGCGATATCGATCTTTACGGTTAGTTTCTTAGACGTTTTTATTGTTTCCTTCCTTAGTTCAGATTTTGTTCATAGTCAGTTCGCAAAGTGGTCTTAGTTCGCAAGTGGGTCTTCCCACCCACCTTCTCCCTTTGGTTTCCGACTCTGCGCAGACTGCTTCCCATACTTTCCATTCTGGAAAACGGGCCCAAAGGAGGAGAAAACTCACTGCCTTCGCATGGCATCTACTCTACTATGAGAGATATACTGCTTGTCACAATGAGATGAAGGGCCAAGGGCGGAAATCGGAATGCAATTCTAGTTCTCGCACGCGTATTTGTACCTCTCAGCGCTACCCTAGTATGTAGCTTCTTTAAAATTCCCTGCGCATACATATTCTTCTCCCCAGCTCTTCTCCTCTATCCCGTCTCGCAGAATTCTATCGCGTCGGTCAACGGACATGATTTAGAAGTTTGTAGGCAGGTTTTACATAAAATTGGAGGTCGAATAGGGGAAATATATCTACATGAAAGGAGCGGCTCAAGGGCAAGGGATTTTGGCATGGGTGTGTTTTGCTGCGAATAATGCACCCTTATCGCCCTAACATGGCTGCACTTAGCGGCGAATTCCCTTCGTGGCTGTCCACGCCCACCACTAGGCTACCCTGCTGCTGGTCCCTCGCCGTCTGACTCTGGCTTTTATCAAAAAGGCGAGACAAACCTTTAACTTAACCGATGAGACCCTCCAAAGCGGAAAACAGGAAATTTAGGTTTTCAGGCTCTTTCCTGAGTTTTTATCTCAGTGCTGCGCATCCTAAGAGCCCTAGTTTGGTTCCAAGCGGGCGTTGATTCAATTCATTGTACCATCTGCCTTTTAAACCAACAGTATTACAAAAGCCATATACTGATCTCACGTCAGGCAATCTCAGAGATGACCAGAGCAGCGTTTTTTTTTATTTCATGATGAAATGGAATCGTGGAATCAGGAGAATTTATACTAATAATTTTAGGTAATTATTTTGTTATTCTTCCCGAACTCCCGCCAACAGTTCATTCCTTGCGATTGTCTGTGAACGGTGACGAGAATCCATTCGAGCTTGTCCGGAGTTTACAGGCACAGCCCTATCTGAAGAGCATCAATCTACAGTTGGCAGTTCGTGATGCCAGCATTGTAAGTTTTTTTTTTCGCGGTGGTGATTCGGCTCGGAATTTCCTAGCTCTGAAGGACCCCATAGTTCAACAAAGTTTTGCTTCGGGTAATTAGAACACTGGCCTGGGTAAACACTCGTTAGTCTTTGCAAGCCGTTGGTTGGAAAGCAATATGTGCATCAAAATTTCGTTGAGTTCCCGAATCAGGATGAATAACGGTCGAGGAAATCCTCGACGATGGCTCTGTGCCGTGGGCCGAGAGTGAATGCACACGCGGAGAGCACAGACGGCTCGCGCGTGGTGAGAGTGCATGTGCGCGCGGGAGCGTGGGAGAGTTTTCGACGAATCCTCGACCGATTTTCACCAGTCCCGAATGGAAAGCCAATTCATGACAGGTCGAGGGCTGTACGTCGGCGCGCAAGGATTGTGGCGCCAGCTGCGCAGGAACCAAGTCACTTCGCACAGCTTTTGTAGCTCGTCGTCTGTGACCGGTACTAGCCCCGCCTCAAGCACTTTGGGGTTTGCTATTTATTCCATGTCTTATAAATTATTTTTCAGTCGGCGATCGACAATGCCAATACCCTTCTCAGCACAATTCTGCCGTATATTGGCAGTAAGATAACTATTCTCACGGTGAGTCGTTGTCGTTTATACTCTCATGGCAAGCTACCGGCGGTAACCAGAGTCAACCATCCGTCGTTCTAATTTCAACGAAACATTTTGCGGACAAAACCCCCACGGTGGTCTTCTACACCACCACCATCGGCCCTGTTTAGGGGAGTTCGCCCGATACACACCTTCTTCAGCCTTTGGACCTTCAATAAGCCCATTATTACGCCTGGCGCCCCTCGGGAGAAGAACCTCAGATAGCAATCCGCCTTGTTGGAGCAACTGCCAACGCAAGGTTGACCCTGCGTAATTAAACCCGTTTTGTTAGAAACAAATGATAGCCGCTGTGAGCTGTGTGAAGATATCAACACACGATTGGCTCCAGTACTCTACCTCATGAAAGAGTCTGCGCAATACTTTTCATGGGTCAAGGGGAGCACTGAGGATGACCAGTTCTGGCTGCCAAAATAACTTCCAATTTCTGCGTATGATTAGAACGGTTGCGTGGACCATTTCGCTTCCGCTTTTATTAACTCTTGGAGCTCCTCCTTAGCGCAACCTGGAATACCTATAGGCGCCTATGTGTTACACAATTGCTTCCTAGTAAACATTTCTCAGCATGTCGAGTTGGTTCCACCGTTTGCGCTCATAGTACCTCCCAGTGCCAGCGTGGATTACGGTGGAACCGATTCAACGTACGGGGAAATCACTCTTGTATGACCCCTTCTTATTGAAATATACATATTTCTCTACGCCATACATGTATTTTTGTGGCTTAGGTGGCGACACCGCGTCTGTTTGACGATTCACTACGTCTGATCACAGAATGCACACCAAATTTGACGCATCTCGCACTGGACGTGAATCACCTGAGCACACATATATTACAACGTTACTTTTCAGGTAAATTTAGCACAAATTCAGTTCGATCATTAGTTCAGTAAAAAACACAACAAGCCCCATACTGAGCGGATCACGACGGCGCGTGCGCGTCCGCGCGTGCAAACGATTCGGTCGATACGCATCGCACGCGAGCTGCAGCGTCGGCTGGTCTGTTTTATGTATTAGCACGGTCCGTGAAAACGCCTACATTCAGGTGGTGCCAAGTCTCAAGGATCTCGGTTACGATCATGAAGATATGTCGCATGAGAATTACCTACAGAGTCTTGTTCGCCATTGCCCGTGGAGCGCGAAATCTGATAGTGAGTGGGCTTCAGAAATCTTATCAGTTTTCGGTTGTGTACTTTTATCACCCTGTTGATTTGTTATAAATGTAACCAAAATGAGTGAATAAGCGTGTAAAGTCACGTAGCGGCCAAAGACAATGGCAAGCCGCGACGCGACCGCCCGCGCCCTATTACTGGGATCTCACTTCTTTCTACGATTACACAATTTTCGCAACCGTACCACTCCTTCTATTATATAAATTAGCCGTGTTATATTAAGGACCTTGAAACGTCGCAAATGCTGTCAGTTGACGATCGATTTCTCGCAATTCTCGGAGAAAATTGTCGGCAATTAAGATGTATCAATTTGAACGGATGCAGATGGGTGAGCGACAAAGGCATGGCAGCATTGGCAAGGTTAGTACGATATCATCACACACATGAAAAGAGAAGTTCCGATTTCCGGCTGCAATCGGAAGTCGGAAATTCGTATTTGTTTGACTAAAATTGTAAAAGTGCCAAAATCTCGTATTTTCAAGACGATGTCCCCTTCGAGAGGTTCGCATTCGTGGCACTGCCTGTACGGATAAATCTATTTACACTCTGGCTCAATTCTGTCCCGATCTCGAGTGGATCTCCTACGCTGACTACTCAGGTAAGAACTCTCAAACACATAAAGGGGGGTCAACATGGCTTCTACCAAGCATTATTTTCAGGTCGACCAAAATTCACCGACAAAGCGCTTCAATTTCTCAGGGATTCCTGTATTCAGAAGGTCATCTGCTAGTCGTTCACCATTACGGGATATTTTTTGACACATACGACTACATATACACTTAAAAACACTTATTTACACTTAGTAACCGTTTGACCAGTGCGATGAACTGTGATATTTTGAAGTAATCGAGAACAACATGGGTCCATACACTCTGTTCTCTTAGCAGAGTACATAACATATATTTGTTGTTTGTCCTGAAAACTGCTGTTATTGGTGAAAAATAAATATTATTTTTTATTAAAAGTCCTAGCTCTCATAGTAATTGATCAAAAAGCTTGAAGTTCCAACAGGAAACACAACAAGAACAAAATGAGACAAGCGACAGTCTCAAGAACGCAAATAGAAACTTCATCATCACTCTGAATGTACGTAATAATCACTGCTGTTGACCTGGTTGGTTGTTTTCGCCGCCTTCGTTCTCGCCATCATCTTTAAAAAAAGAATTCAATAATATAGACAAAGGATGTCACAAGGATGTTGGCGAGTGGGAAGGGTTGATCTTGAGAATATTTTTAAGGCTTTATGACCCCCCCCCCTCTTATGGGGTCTCCCACGGCCCCCACTACCACACCTCAAGAAGGATCACCCACAAATACGACCTCCTCGTTAGTAAAATACTAGCCGTAAGAGACGGTTGATCCTAGTCCAAACCCAG